CCCGCCCTGGGCCTCAGGTAACTTCCTCACATCTGTTCATGGTGTGCATGTAATCTCTGTTACACCCGCTGACAACATTATGGTATACTCTTGTCTCTGTTGTTTTACCAACTATTAAAACTCCCACTCTCACGTTCACTGTGTCCTGTTTGACTCCAGATACCAGTGATTTCCTCCAGAAGCACAAGACAGCGCTGGAGAGTCAGTACGTGTCGGAGCACCTCCACGAGTGGATCGACCTGGTGTTCGGCTTCAAGCAGAGAGGCAGTGAAGCTCTCGCAGCCCATAATGGTAAAGAGACCTGTTTCTTTCAAATCAAACCAACCAAACGTGGAAAAAGCTCACATTCATCTCTTTGTTTTTCAGTGTTTCACCCTCTGACCTATGAAGGAGGTGTAGACTGTGATAGGTACATGGAAAACCACTCGCACATGATTATTATTACAAATATTTGTCATTATTTCTTTGATCTAACTTTCCATTTCTCTGAAGCATCGAGGACCCTGACGAGAGGATCGCCATGCTGACACAGATCCTGGAGTTCGGCCAGACGCCCAAACAGCTGTTCACCACCCCTCACCCTCAGAGGATCACCCCCCGGTTTCACAACATGACCCGAAGCCCCAGCAGCAACTCACCTGTCAGCGACCTGTCTCCAGGTACAATAGATGATCACACACAAACTTATAAACCTTCGGAAACTACCGTGCAAAGTCTGCTGCCGATGTTGATTCCTAGCTTTATCTGGAGAAGACAAATAGTCTGAGTATTCTGTATATGCAGCACTTGTTTCGTGCAGTTTGGGAGGCATTGTATTTCAGTGAATCATCCCCGTAGTAGTTCTCTTCTTCTGAGGGTGGGTACATGCAAACTGTGAAATATGTCATTAAAGCACTTAAATTATAGACAACATGTAGTGTGTCCAAACAGAGGGTGATTCATTTTCAACTGACCTAGATCATTTCTTTGCTGATTTTACAAGGAAATAGAAATAGTCAGAAATAATGAAATAATCTGCTCAGTACTGATGATTTAATTTATTTCCAGTGATTAGTTGCATAATGGTAAACTGGCATAAGCTGCATCCAACACCAGGCATTGATCAAAAATGTCCTCTTTGTCCCTCCTGCAGCCTCTCAGAGTGAGGACTCGTCCTTTGAAGACCTGACGGAGGAGAGCAGGAAGTTATCCTGGGCGAACATCGGAAATCTGAAACCCATCTCCAGCCACAAGATCCATAAAGAGTAAGTCAGGAGGCATCAAGGTTGAACTGCTAGTCCACATATAACTGAGAAAAGCTCTGGTTCAAACAAGAGGAAGTGCATGCAAAGCTAGTATCGGGTCGGCAGCTGCAGAAAATAATAACACAAATATTTGTGAAGACATTTGTAGAGGAGTGTGAGTCGAGGACAAGTTTCTGCTTGAATACATCTTTGCTAAATGTACTAGTGTGACCGTTATGTTAACCCCCCCTGCACATTTCCTTCTGGATACGTATGCCTTTTCTTGTGTAATTGAGTCTTTCCGTGTCATGTGCAGGGCTGTGAGCGGCATCGCTGTGACCCGGGACGGAGCAGCTATATTCTCCACATCCCAAGGTCAGGAGAATATATAGATCACAGAGGTGCAAAAAGGACCAAAATACTATTCTTCAGTTTAGTTTAACCTGTTCAATTCTGATCCATAATGGTTAAAGATTTAACTCGGTAACAAATAACTTGTTTGTGTAATTTTAAACAGGTAACATCATCCCTAAGTTTCATAATGGAGTCATTTGAGTGGCATTGTGGGAAGTGGTTTTATATCTGCTCAATGTATGGCCTCTTCTCCCTCTAGTGGCCCGTTGGGGTTCCTGTTAGCATTCTGGTGCAAAATGATGTCATCACAGTAAGAACCTCACAGGGGATAAGACCATACTTAACGGTTGAATTAGTTCATCCAAGTAGTTTTTACAAGTAGAAAGGGAGAACAAATAGCAGATTGGTTCAAAATACTCTGAAATGGGTGTTTTCTCATTGGTGGGGAAAGAAACGGTTGTACTCTGCAATACTCAGCTGTATGACTCTTTGTTCCAGACTCAACCCTTAAAATGTTTTCCAAAGAGTTGAAGGACTTCCAAAGAAGCATGTCCTTCTCTAACATGGTACAGTATGCAGCTGTATTTACGTTTCACCATCTCTCTAATCATTTTGAACTCTCTGAACAATAAACGATGTGGCTTTCTTTCAGGCATTATCGTCATGTCTCATGCTGGCTGATGGTAAAACGGTGGTGTGTTCTTCCTGGGACAACAATGTGTATGTATAATATCCAAGGACAAATGATATCAAAAGGATCTTCATGACCACACACTGATCCATATGTCTCTCTTCCCTTAGGTATTTCTACTCCATCCCATACGGCAGGCGGCAGGACACTCTGATGGGCCATGACGACGCCGTCAGTGACATGTGTTGGTTTGATGAGCGGCTGTACACGGCGTCCTGGGACTCCACCGTCAAGGTAAAAAAAGTACTTTATTGAGGTGATGCTGTTTATAAAGCAATGGATTTATCAGGCATTCAGAAAGATTGAGAGTCGGGGAAGAATGGCAGTAATACTACATGACAGCAATGTGCATGAATTCATGTCTAAGAGAGGGGTGACCATTGCTGTTTGTTTCACAGGTCTGGAAATGCCCTTATGATAGCTCGTCCAATCACAAGAGATCCCAGTTTGAGGTACTGGCCGAGTTGGAACATGATGCTGGGGTGAGTGTGGACGCTTACACTGCATTTTGAAGCACAAGTTTATTATTTATTATCGATATCATTCATAAAGAGGAACTGAAACGTGTTGGGATCAAAGTCCAAACACTGAAAGGTAGAAGCAGAGCACTCATGCACGTGTGTCTCCCTGCAGGTGAACACCATTGGTCTGAATCCAGCGGGCACCCTGCTGGTGTCGGGCTGTAAAGACGGGGCGGTCAGCCTCTGGGACACCAGCAGCTACACCCCCCTGCAGCAGGTCCACTGCCACACGGGGACCATCCACCACACGGCCTTCAGTCCAGGTGGGTGTTACACCAGCCCGCTGATTTTCACCAGAGATAAGAGATTCTTTGTTGCATTTTTTCGACACGCTATATTATGGCTTTTCTGTCATTTTTAACGAAACTACGCCTGGTTTCTACACACTATACCGTGCCTTATTTCGACATAAAAGACTATGTCCACATACAATAAAACGTAATAGTATAGTTTGTTGAAAATATGGAAAAAAGGCATAGTATCGTTTTTGTCACTTATCGACACACTAAACTATGTTTGTTTTCTGCATGTTTTCCACATAGTCACCATACAATAAAACTGCATAGTATATAGCATGTCAGAAATCGGAGAAATAACGTCATGTCGAAAATGTGAAGAATAAAAAACGGCATAGTGTAGTGTGTTGAAAATATGACAAAGATCTATACATCCCAAATCAACACTCTTGAGTCACCTACAAACCATGTCTAAAGTGATGACTTGGATCTCTTTGTCCTCAGACAGCAGACACGTCCTGAGTGTCGGCGCTGACTCCTGTATGAAGGTCATTGACGTCCAGACAGGAATGGTGATATCGTCTGTGAAAGCTGAGGAGGAGCAGAGGTAAGAGCAGGACAGGAGAGGCAGATTTCAGCGCCTCAGTCGTACGCAACTGAGTATTTGTTTCATATATTTGTATTTAAATAAGTTTATGTTCTCTTCGTATGTATATTACGTTTAATTAGTCTCTACGTTGCCTTGCCTAGCCTAGCCTTGCCAGGGTGTAAGCTCTTAACAACTGTAGCCCATTGAAATAAGAACATGTGATATACCTGATGCTGCAGCTCAAAAGGAGTTCTTGCTGTGGGTTCAGGTGCTTCTGCTGGGACGGGAACTCGGTGCTGTGTGGGGGGGGGTCAGGTGACCTCCTGCTGTGGGACCTGCTCAGCAACACAGTCACCCAGAGGATCCCCGCACACTCAGGTACAGCTACCTGGTTAAATGTCTATGTGCAGGATTTGTACCAATAGCTCTAATGCTAAATGTGACATAAAATAAGTAGGTGTTTTCTGTGTACTTACAGAAATGATAAGGTTATGATGCATATTATGTTCCTCCTGTAAAAGGTGCCGTCACGGCCATGTGGATGAGCGAGCTGTGCTCCACGGTGATCACCGGCGGAGAGGACAGACAGATCGTCTTCTGGAAGCTCCAGAGTTAAAGGACGCTTTCTTCACAATCCATCTGCTGAGGAGATGAAAACCTTTCTGGACTAAACCGGCCAAGTATCCTGCAGACGACATGACTATCTGACTTCAAACAGAGACTCACTAAACTGTTGAGGAGCTGAACACGTCCAGTATCACAGAGCAGTTCTCTCTTAGCTGTTCTCAATGCTAAACCAAACAAAAGGTCATACAGTCATGTTAGCACATCGCTTCTGCTTATTAAGAGAATGTCCAGTAGCAGTATTGTGCATGAGAGCAGGATCTTTTTTTTTTAAATGTATTATTTGGTCTGCATCATCTTACACTGTTTTTGTAGCTTTAAATTAGAAATCATGGACCTTAAATGTCAGTTGATGCTTCATGCTGCTCGGGTGTTATCATTATTCAATCAACACTGATCTAAAGTCAACTTTGCTGTCTCCTAATACTTCTTTAATGTTACAGGTCTCTTTGTAATCCGGGAATACCTTAAGGTTTTGTGACCAGCTCAACTGTGTTGTCATATTTTAACTTATTTGATGGAAGTATAAATTGTAGTAACACTTTACCTGTTCAGCTATTTCTGCTAATACAAAGTCACTCCAGAAACCTAGAGAGCTTATCTGTTTGTAAATAACACCGAGGACACATTGGAGTTAACAGCTTAACCTTTTTATTTGATATTAAAAATAAAGCAACATGTACATCTTAAAACATGTTCAAGGAAACGTTAACTGATAAAATAACCATTAGTAAAAATAGCAAACCTATATTACAACATCTGTTTAGAGACTCGTGCACTTTAATGCTCACTAGTAATGACTAATTACGGCTCTCTTTCATTGAGAGTTTAAGATAGCACAGGGTGAGTAATAGATATACAAATGCTCCGTTTTGCAGTAAAGTATCGCTATCATTTTCACAGATTTGGCTTCTGATCAGATTAATCAGAATACATTTGACTCTATAAAGGTTAACAAGGTGAATCATTTGAAACTGTATTTACAGATGCCTGTGTAAAGTGAACTACACAACATGATGGTGGCAGATTAGAGAGTGTAGAGATGGCAGCATCACTCGTCCGCTCTTATTTCTGAAAGAGAGAAGAGACAATGCTGCGTCACTGCTGAAAGTCTTCTACTAGTCATTACATTGTCTTTAGGCTTTTTGTTATTAACCATATCAAAGTATTCCAGTTATCTCTCTATGAACAGCTACTTTACCTTCGCCGCTGACGCTTTGCGTAACATAGCGAAGAGTTTAATCATCTTGGGAGTCTGCGGTTTTTGTCCAAACAGAGCGCCTCCTTTAATCTTGTCCTCCTTAAGCTTAGGACCTGGAGGGCCTTTGGCTTTGGTCAGGGCCCTTCACAAAACACAGACACAGACACATCCTTAATGGGCTGCATCTTACACTTTAATTTGCACAGGTGTTGGTGCTCAAACATCTTTGGTGTGAAAAAAGTGTCATTGTGTTTATGGCTAACTGTAAAGACTCACCTGCCCTTCCTGGCCAACACTTTCTGAGACTCTGGGTAATGGACGAGGATATCAAACAAGTCTTTCTTCTCCAGGACGAAGAGGTTAGCGAAGCCGTGCGCCTTCACGTTAGCTGTGCGCCTGTTCCCTCCATCTTTGGCAGACTGTAGTAAACTGAGGGGACAGAGGCAGTAATAAACCATGTGTCCAAGACCAAATATTACACTGCAATGCTACAGCCATGCATTATACCAAACAAGGATAAGCAAATTGCACTAATATGCCTACATATATTCTCCTTATGTACATGTGTCATTGTTAAAATGATAACCAAAGATAAATATGTGACTTGTTAATCTTTTTTTACCTGTTATTTTATAATTGAGACGTTACAAAAAGCAGACTCACCTGATTTCTCCAAACACACAGCCAGCCTTCAGGGTGACAAACACGATGCTGTTGTCCGGCCCCCCCACCACCTGCACCGCTCCCTCTTTGATGATGTACATCTCTTTACCGATGTCCCCCTGCAGGAGGGGATCAGACATTATGAACATTTGGATATATGGTTGGATATTTGCTTCATTTCGTCACACACACAAATACTCACTTTCTTCACAACAAAGTCTCCGGGTAGATAGACGATAGACTTGAGCCTCAACAACATGTCCACCAACATCTGATGGTCGCAGCCCTGGAAGAGACAATATGAGGGGACAGGTGAGTGTTCACTGAACAGTCCTGACCAAGGCCTTGCTGCTAACAGGACACGGTGATTGCTGACCTGAAACAGTGCGATCTTCTGGAAGGTGGCCATGTTGATGTCCACAGCGATGGCAGTTCTCATCACCATGGGCATCTTGTCCAGCAGCTCCGACTCATCTGCAGAGGACATGTGTAAAGAGTAACTCAGTACGAGTCAAATACATCTTTTGTCATTTTAATAATTGTCTGGTTTTCAGTTGTTAAGTCTATATTTCTCGTATTAAAGGCTCAAAAAATTACCCAGCATGCCCTGAGCTTCCCAGGTGTAGTTGAACCAGGTCCGGACTCTGTTCTGGACCTCCTTGGGGATGGTGTTGGTGTTCATGTAGTCAACGCAGCCGTCCATTGATGCCCGGAAATACGTCACGCCTGCTGTGGCTGCTCCTATCACGTCTCTCATCTGAGAGAAGACGGAGGGAATAGAGACGTGAGAAAAAGGACAAAAGCTAATGCTAAGAAGTGAAATATGATAGCATTATGAATAAAGATCCTCGTCATACATACCTGTCCAATCAAACTGGAGAACACAAAGACGCCAATGAAGAAGTTGGACATCTGAAAGGTAATCTCAAAGACGGTAACGGGCTCTGGAAGACCCCCGATGTTGATCAGACTGCGCACTGCGTAGTAGTAACAACGAATGTACCTGTGGAAGAACGGGTACATCTTCATTTCAATAGAACGATAATGCACTATAATTAGCTATATCTGGTACTATGTGTTATCTTAAGAAGTACATACGCGTTGCCCTTCCCATTATAAACCCATGTGGTGGACCCCAGACCCTGGTTTACTGAAGCAACGTAGTAAGCGCAGGCGTTGAGATGGAGAGCGAAGAGCAGGTAACCTGTGGTGCGAATCACTCTAACAAAGAAAATAATGATTAGATGGAGCTGAACTGTGTAGAGAAAGATTCTTTTACTCACAAATTGTCAAGATTAAGTATTGGGGACTTTAAACTAAATGAATAACGAGAAACAAGCATACGGTGCGTAATGGAATGAATACAAATAATGTGTCTTTGTTATGTGGATATCTGTTGTGCAAACAATTTAGTTACACAGACAAGTAATTGAGGAGATAAATGGTTCAGAAACTTTCAACAGTCTTATTTTCTGCTTAGAGATAACTCAACAGTTTTACTAATGGCAGGAGTTTGCACACAGTGTCGTAAGAGTTGGATAAATAAAGTAACTTGATTTACCTCCAGATGTAGGCCTTGGCCATGACACTCTCAAGTCGATCGCTGAACTCAAAGAAGGACTCGATCTACAAGGAAACAGACAAATATATAATATACAAGTTTTATTGAATTGATATGATGAGTAAAAATGTGTCTACTGCCTACCCGGATAAAGCGGTTGATTCGGTACACTGAGGAGAATCCAAACTGCAGGCAGAGGAGGTCAAACGGGAGGATGCTGAGGATATCCAACTAAAAAGAGCAGGGAAAATATGTGGTTATGTTTACAACAGGTAATGTGCCTCTGAGGTTACAGTGAGTGGTAGATTTAGTTGGATTCCATGATTTTCTCACATTCAAATGTACTTGCTTGGACATACAAAGTGATGGAAGAAGTATTAAGATCGCTCCTTTAAAATTCTACTCAAGTAAAATAAAGTATCATCAGCTAAAAGTACTTGACATATACTATTAAACATGACATAAGATCTTTGATACTGATGCATCAAATCTCTAATCATCAAACTAGCATTTTACTTTTGCAGCTGGTCTCTTTGAATCTCTTTCTACATAGTAAGTTAAGTCCAGAGGTCCTCCAGTCACAAGATTCATCTGATGAGTCGTAAGAGGATTAATTAGGTAAGAACCAAAGAAAAAGCTAGCTGTCAGATAAACGTAGTCGAGTCAAAAGTACAACAAGTACACAACATTTAGTGGAGAAGAAGTATAAAGAGGAATACAATGAAAGATATTCCTCGTAATTGACTTGAGGAAATACTTTCTACCCCCAGACTACAGACTCACCTTAAATCGATATGATTTCCGATAATGTACTTTAGCCATGCTTCTGTCTTTCTGCAAGGGAACACACAGTATTTCAGTTCAGACGAGTTAAGACTACACATAAAACACTTCAATATAACTATCACAGATACAGATACTACAAACAGTGATGGTTCATAATGCCTCTGGACTCACAATAATGTCCCCGGCTTTGACGAACTGCAGTCTCGGCTGCCATATTATGATGTCGATGACATTCACTACGTCACTCAGAATGTCCAACAGTATCCAGAAGCGGTTAAGGGTGTCGTTGTGGTAAGGGAAGGCCATCCGGGCGGTGCAAAACCAAAAGTTGTAGTTGATCGCCACGGCTACCACGGCTAACCAGGCAATGTACCGCCGATCTTGAGAGAGACAGACACATTTTACGATTCATTTAGTCTCATCCTCCTGTCCCCTGTGGGCCCCTCACCCACCTGTGAAAGGGTCGATGGTGTTTCCCAGGATGCCATCCATCCGGGTCTCTATGGGGCTGAAGAGGGCGTCGATGATGGAGAAGTTGATTTCTGGGAGGATCTTTGCCTTCTTGGCGGCCTCCTTCGCCAGCCGCTCCTCCTCCGCCTTCTGCTCGTTCTCCAGCCTTTTCTCCTCGTCCTTCTTCTTCTTCTCCTCTGCCTTTTTGGCTGCTTCTTCTGCCTTCTTTTTATCTGCTTCCTCCTTTGCTATTCGCTCCTCTTCCTTCAATCTGATGTAGTCCTCCTTCTTCAGAATAGGCGCTGAACAGGCAAAGTTAAGTTATTCAACATTTAATAACTACATTACAACAGACAGCTGGTAGAAAGTAGCCAATCAGGTTCTTGCTTCTTACCATGGCACAGGTTTTAACATACTGTATGTGTATACGGGTTGATCTGTGATGTTATATGTATACTTGTGGACATACTTGTGGGTCTATTCTGTAGTGTGCTATATAAATAAAGTGTAATTGAAATACAAAATAAGGTTTTCTGCCTGCGTGGTTGTTTTCTATGTCCATACTTACTGACTGGAGGGGTGATTTCTGGAGAAGTGGCAAAAGGGTCTATGGCTTTCAGTTTGAGCACCTCTCTGCGCTCTCTTAACCTCTTGATTGTATCTCTGAGCGTGTCATCGGTGTAGCGGAAGTAGACAACGGGGGGAGGAGGAGGAGGGGGGGCCTCTTCACTGGGAGGGGGCAAGAGCAGAAAGAAAGGTGAGTTAAAGAATAGAAAAGGTGACATTTAATCAGAGAGGAGGGGGCAGAATGCTTCCCCTGAGCGTTGAGTCAGAAATGAAACTCGTTTCCTAATCTGCTTTCCTACTTGTCCTGCTTTAGGAGTCACAGTGTGATGATGGCTGCTGTCTCCTCTGCTTAATGTGAGGAAAGACCAAACAATGGACCATGCAACCTCTCAGGAAAAACTGCCCATTTGCACATGTAGGTCTGGAGAGTAAAAATAAATACATCTGGATATTGATGACTGATTCTTGCAACAGTTATGATTGCCATTTTTATGATAATGTAAATGTAACATATATATTCTTGTTAGCAGACACAGCTCCTATTGTGTACTGAACGTGTTGAAGCTGATACTCTGATACCTGGAAACCTAATCCTAACTCCAGGGAAGTGGAGTTCCTGAAATAGACAGAGCTAAATTTAGTAGGTATTAGTAGGACATTTTTAAACGACAGCTAAAGACACCTCTTTTTAGATTAGCTTTTTATTAGCAATTCCCCACTTTAAATGTTCTTTTAGTCTTTATTATTTACCTACCTTTATATTGTTTTATTTATTTTATAGGTCTTAATCTTTTTATTTCTGTTGTACCTATATGTTCACTTTGTTTTATGGGGTTTTATATGTTATAGTGTTGCATCGACTGAGTTGTCTTGTGTCTTATCTGAGAGAAACCATTATTTATTTTATTTTATTTTTATAATCATACATTTTACCTCCTTGTGTTTATTAACCTGATCAAATGTTATATTTTGCTGCATGTACAAGTCTGTAAAGTTCTTAACAAATCATCTGAGGGGAATTTCCTGTTGTTTGTTTTGAACTTGTGATGTGTCATTTTGTAAAGCACTTTGAGCTGCACGTGGTGTATGAAAAGTGCTATATAAATAAAGCTTTATTATTATTATTATAATCACTGTTACAATCTCGTCTAGCCTCATAATATTTTTAATAATAATAAAAATGTCAGTTCTTAAAAGGGTCTTTTAAAATTTCCAACAAAATAATTAAAATTATATTTTCTTCTCTATCTTTTCTAAATGTGGGATTGTGACTAAGTGATAAGTGATGTATTGTTCAGCCTAAAGTCACTTTTGAAAGCCTGAAATGTCAACATTGATTTGTCAATTCATCATCTGTTCCCCCTTGTCCTCTGGAGGGTCACAGGGGGCAGTATATGGTGCGCTCTTACCCCTCGACCCCCTCTGGATCGGCTGGAGCTGGAGCTGGAGCAGGAGCAGGAGCTGGAGCTGGAGCTGGAGCTGGAGCTGGAGCTGGAGCTGGAGCTGGAGCAGGAGCAGGAGCAGGAGCTGGAGCTGGAGCTGGAGCTGGAGCAGGAGCTGGAGCAGGAGCTGGAGCAGGAGCTGGAGCAGGAGCTGGAGCAGCAGCAGCAGCTGGAGCAGGAGCAGGAGCAGCAGCAGCAGCTGGAGCAGGAGCAGGAGCTGGAGCAGGAGCAGGAGCTGGAGCAGGACATTTTGACAAAAGCACATCAACACTGGGTGACCATGCCCGCTACATTTCCCCCATCTAACACTCCTTTGACTTCTTGGGTATTTTAAATCTGTAAACAAATAAAATCACTTGGAAATATGTAAGGATAGGTATTATTGGAGTATAAATTCAGATTCAAGTGTGAAATTCTGATAACAGAAAAGTGCAATTCATCATCAATTGCAAGTGCATGAGGAAGATGGCCAAAAGCAGCTGCTTTAAAGTTCATACTGCAGTCTGCAGGAGGATATTGTTATTATTTCAAAACAACTAAGTGAGACATGTTACTACTTTTCTAACATCAATTAATCAACTGCAATAGTCACAATATTTACAGTGTGTATGTAACAGTAATCACCTAGACTACCGGTCTGTACATGGTTGTGTTGTGCTCTAAATTAAAATCATACCTCACCTGGTTTTGGCTCTTCTTCCTTTTTCTCCTCCCCTTTCTTTTCTTCTTCTTTCTTCTCTTCCTCTTTCTTCTCCTCGTCTTGTTTTGGCTCCTCTTTCTCATCCCTCTTTTCAGGCGGCTTTTCTTCCTGTAAAGAAACGATGCTAGTAACTGCAGAAAAAAGTGGGAAATTGTCTTGAGACAAATAGGACTCATTTCCTAATGATAAGGCTGTGCACACATAACGTTAATTATTCCTCAGTACTATCCCCTTCCTCAGATTCAGGATCACATATTGCCTTGCCAGCATCCTACTGAAAAAGCAACAGTAAATCCACCCATGCTGTTTATCAGTGCCAAGCTGCTTCAGAGGCTTTCACTGATCTGAGTAGCATTCTAGGAAATCGGATAAACAAGCAGGCAGGTAACGTTTAATTAAACAATAATATGTCAGTTCTGAATTTATATTGAAGATTAGAAAAGGCCTTACCTTAACGGCTGGAGCTGGGGATGATGGTGGGGTCGGAGCTTGGGCAGGGGGGGGGCTCAGGAGCCCCGATCAGGCTCTTCAACCTGCTGAACATGGGGGGTCTCGGAGTGGGCTACAGCCACCAGCCCATCCACTGCTCCTGAAGGCGATTTCTATTTGATTTCCGATTCCTCTGAAAACTCTCAGGGTGCTGTGCAGTCTTCGTCTCACATCCAAACAACAGACTGAGGCAATTCCATTTCTTATAGGCATTAATTCCCTCAGGTCACTCCCATTTTTCCAGGAATCAACGCAGAGTCAGCTATCACCGCCTCCTCACTGCCAGTGACTCTAAAAGCTGAGTGCTACCCCATTTAGCATGGTAACCCTTTATTCAAGTCAAACAGCCCAACGGTGTGTTGTTGCAGAGCCTCGAGTGCAGAGACCATCCAAAGGAGTTATGTTTGTTGGGGAAACTTCATTATCATAACTAAAACGAGTGCCTCTCCTTTACACTCAAATGCCAGGTCAGAGAGGAGAGCCAGATCGGATACTTTTTGGTAAGAACAAACTGCTTACTAAATGTGCCATTACCTTTAGTTCTTGGACTCTGCATTTCACATAGAACTGAGTTCATTTTCCAATATATTTCATAATGGGATAATACATGGATTAATTGGTAGTAACTCAAAAGTGTCTGGTGTAAAATTAGACTGCTGAGGTTAATTCAGACCGCTCTGTTTACAGAGTTCAGAAACTCAGAGAGCATTTAGTGAATTAACTCTCACCATGTCTCTCTCTGGCTAACAGGATTATCTTTAGCTCTCTCTGTCCGAACTCTAACTTCTACTGTACACACACAGTTAACACACAGATACACACAAGCAAACAAACAGGACATTATTTTGTTATCAACTGAAATGAAGTCAGTATTTATTCATTCAAGCCGATATTGACAGATCCAATCAATTAAATATTGTGTTGTGAACATTATTGTACCAATTGTTTGGATAATCTCTGTAAGGCTTTTACAACGACTGTGCATTGGCAAGCTCAAAATAATATAGCAGAGAAAAGCAGACAAACAAATCAAGGTGGATAAATATATACATATACAACAAGCAGTATCCACTAAGGGCGGTAGTTTTCACACACAGATATTGCACATCTCATCAAATAGTTTGGTAACATTGTTGTATGTCTTGTTGTCTAAAGGCCCGGACACACCAAGCCGATTTTGGCCATCGGTGGGCGTCAGGCCGACGATGAGCGTCGACACGCCCTACTCAGATAGGGAGGTTCTGTTGAGTTGTCTAAGCATATCAAACCAAATGTTTGTAATGAAAGAAAACCCATATCTTAAAATGACACAAAATACACAATCAGTACAAAAGTAAACTGTACATGCACTCCCAAAAAGGAGTTGTAAATAAAAAGCTCTCAACAATCCTTATTTGTTTCCAGAAGCAGCCTGGTGGGGGGGGGGGGAAATACAAAACATATGTCAGCATTACTGTAATGAAGTTTTAATGAGCACATATAGAGAGAAGTGTAAGTGCTGTTACCTTCATTCTTTCAATCATGTTCTTTCCGCCGAAGAGTCGCAGCATTTTGGGTGTGGGGGGTTTGGGTCCGAACAGTGCGAGCCCCTTCTTCTTGTCGTCATCTGCTTTAGCTGCTGCGGGACCCTTCGCCTTCATCAGTTTCCTACACACAGACACGGAGAAGCTGGCTGAACAAAGTGCTCTGGTGCTAGCTACAAAGCAGCTGCTACTCGGGTAACAAACAGAGTATTTCTGAGTCCGATGTCTACGTTTGCTGCAATGTAATGGTTCTAAAGAGAGATCAAATGTTTAAGGGAAAGGAAAAAGGTCTTCGTTGCTGAAACGTGAGCTGCCTAGTATACACTTTTCATACTAGGATTATATACAGCTAATATCAACATTTGGTGAGAACATTTCTTTCAGCAATAGCTCTGTAATTGAGCAAACGTGTTATTGGTTTATCATTTAAAAACATTATTGCTGGAATGTGTGCAGTGGCTCTGGGAAAGAGTAAGATGTTGTAGTAGTGGTGTGTCCCGAGTGTCTGACTTACTTTCCCTTCCTGGCCAACACTTTCTGAGACTCTGGGTAGTGGACCAGGATGTCGAACAGGTCTTTCTTCTCCAGGACGAAGAGGTTAGCAAAACCATACGCTTTGACATTAGCTGTCCGCCTGTTCCCTCCATCTTTGGAAGACTGCAACAGACTGAGAAAGAACAACATTTTACGGATGACATTTCCCGGACTGTATTCTTTGTCTGTGGATTTGACTCTATTATCATCTAGATTACATTGTGGCACATGAATCATCTCTGTGTGACAATGACCAACCTGATTTCTCCAAACACACAGCCAGCCTTCAGGGTGACAAACACGATGCTGTTGTCCGGCCCCCCCACCACCTGCACCGCTCCCTCTTTGATGATGTACATCTCTTTCCCGATGTCCCCCTGCAAGACGGCAAAGTCAAACACATGCAGAAACATACAAAATAATGGACAGAATAACAAACAATACATGATTATGAAATGTCTGACTTATAAAGGGTGATACAGATTTACATTTATAAGGCCAAATTCAAGAGGGAAAATTAAATAATGTGGAGCACATTTAGACGTGATAATAATAACTTACCTTTTTTACGACAAAGTCACCAGGTAAATAGATGATAGATTTGAGCCTCAGCAACATGTCCACCAACATCTGCTGGTCGCAGCCCTTGGGAGATAATAACAAGATGTTTAAATGACCTAATGTCCAAGCTGCAGTATGTCTGCTTCACTGTGTTTGTGAAAGGCACCTTGAAAAGATCAATCTTCTGGAAGGTGGTCAAGTTGATGTCGACAGCGATGGCGGTTCTCATCACCAGAGGCATGCTGTCCAGCAGCTCCGACTCGTCTGAAAGCACCAAGGTCCAACAGGAAAGGTTAATGGAGGAAGTAAAGTCACTCTTTTAAGATACTGTGGATTCTAATAATGAAAGGCTTTCTAACAAAAGTAAACTGAACACTTTGTGTAGTGTTACTGACCCAGCATGCCCTGAGCGTCCCAGGTGTAGGTGTACCAGGTGCGGACTCGGTTCTGCACCTCAGTGGGGATGTGATTGGTCACCATGTAGGCCACAGTGCCGTCCATGGAGGATCTGAAGTATGTCTGTCCTGCTGTGGCTGCACCGATGACGTCCCTCATCTGAAGCACAGGGAAATCTTTCGTTCAAATCGGAGAACTACTGCAGTCGATTACACATGTTTTTGTAGCTAAAATCTGGATATTTAAAAAGATTTTTGACAGTCAAGACTTCACAAGGAACCGGTGGAACACAACATTTAGAGTGACGGAAGATGGGGTGTTAGTGGAACTACTATGGTGAGATGAATGGTGGTGTCTGTCATTTCTAACACCACACGTTTTATTCATCTGTCACTACATTACGACACCAAGGAGACACGGTAATTTAGAGGTTTCTACAGGAACTGAGCATGCTGGGACTTTGACTCATGAATTAGCTCCATGTTACCTGTCCAATCAAACTGGAGAACACAAAGACGCCCACGAAAAAGTTAGTCATCTGAAAGGTAATCTCAAACACGGTATGGGGTTCGATAAGACCCCCGATGTTGATCAGACTGCGGACAGCGTAGTAGTAACAACGCAGGTACCTGTGGAGAGGGGGGGGGGCGTTAGGGCGGCAGTCACACTCACTATATTTGCATCTGCAGGTCTCCCTTGAAAGAGAGATCAATGATCTCAATGGGATTTCATCTGGATAAATAAAGGTTTTGAATTGAATTGAATTGATATTTCACTGGCCTGTTATATTTTGGGACGGACATAGTGCTAGACGTATGTGCGCATGTGTTGAGGAGGAAGGATTGTTATGTATCCTTTTTTTTGCCTTGACGCCTTGCTGCCAAAAATACAAAAAGGTAGAAAATAAATGCGCTCAAATTCAAATAAAAATATATAAATAAATAAAAACGTTTTTAAAATGATTATAATCAAACTACCTGGATAAGAATGGTGGACATAAAGAAAGCCCCAAAAAGGTAGTTTGTCATCTGAAAGATCTGTCCGAACATGGTGTCTGGTAATGGCAACTCAGCGATCATCAGCAGGGACTTCTCGGCATAGAAGAAGCAGCTGAGGTAGCTGCAGCAGCGGTGGACAGAACATACAAGACATGTTCAAAGTGTGGACGCCACACAGATGGAGAAAACTACAACTTGTTTTCAGTGCAGCAAGCATTGCAATGACTCTAAAAGCTGGCTGGTGTTTGATAAATGTGTCCCGTTTTGTCACGTGTGGCAGCCCCTATGTTTATGGGAAACTACTTTACTACACCTTTATTTAAATGAGCAAAAGAATAAATAATATAATATGTATAGAATATCCTGCTTAATTTTGTTTACTGTAAATTGGTATTTCAACATGTATATATATATATATTTTAATGCTCTTTTATTTCTAATTTGAGATGTTTACATTTTAGAATGATTTATTTCTACCCTTTTAATTTCTCTTATGGGCAATGCCTTCTCTTTTATGCTGCTGCAACGCAAACATTTTCCAAATTGGGATTAATAAAGTACATCTTATCTTATTTTATCATATAGAATACTAATTAAAGTTCAAATTGCGTTTATAGATAAAGATGCTGGTGAAAGTGTGTTTCTTGTAGAACTGGGATTAAGGATAAAGTGTCGTTAATGTGTTGTTTTTTTTATTCAGGCCATTTCAGTTTTCCACCTCACTCTCAGGATATTTACATTTCTTTCTCATGATCTGTATTTAATGTTTAATGTCTAGAGATAGAAAACTAAAATGCCTCACACTTTAACTGTTGTACTTACGCGTTGCCCAGACCGGAGTAAACCCATCTAGTCTTCCCGATTCCCTGATACTCTGAAGCCACGTAGTAGAAGCAGGCGTTGAGGTGCAGCATGAAGAGAAGATATCCAATGGTCCGAATCACTCTAATGGAAAAGTAAAGAAACGTCTCTTTTTATCTGTTCCTTTTCTGTCAACTCCCTGTCAAACAGACAGCCTTGACTTTTATGAAGTGATTCAAATATGGTAACATCAATTACGGCATGATCCTTTGACTGACCTCCAGATGTAAGCTTTGGACATTAAGCTCTCAAGACGATCGCTGAACTCAAAGAATGTGTCCACCTTGAGAATAAGCAAGAAACTGTCAGCCACAGGAAGGAATCGAGGTCAAGCATCAATTGGCTGGCCTTTGTAACACATGGGGAAACTCACCTTTATCAGACGATTGGCTCTGAAAATGGATTTGAATCCAAACTCTAGGTACAGCAAGTCGAATGGCATGAGGGCCAGCATGTCTAGCTGTTGAGGGGAGACAGAGATATGAGGTCACTGAGATTAGTTCTTCCTAATTTTTCTAAGAAATGGAGTTATAGTAACCTTGAATCTGTCAGATTTTCTGTAGTTTGTCTTTGTCACCAGTCGGTCTGTCTAAAAAGGGAACAGAATCATTTGTCAATTTAAATTTAAATCATTCTCATCATCAGGATCTACTGAATGGAATTAGACTTACTATGATGTCCCCTCCTTGGACAAACTGTCTGCGGGGCTGGAAGAGGATTGCGTCTGTGAGGTAGATGAGGTCTGCCAGCGTATCTGCGGCGAACCAGAAGGGAATGGCAAATTCCGAGTGGTACGGGAAGCACAGACGGGCCGTGATAAACCAGGTGTTGTAGTTGAAGGCCAAGGTCACCACGCTCAGCCAGGCGATGTAGTGCCGGTCTGTGAAAGGGTCAATGGTGGTCCCCAGCACAGAGTCCATCTTGTCCTCAATTGGCTTCAGAACAACGTCCACCGAGTACCAGAAAGCTTCCTTTATCTTGGTCGGTATGTTCCTATTCAGTTGCACATTTGCAGCCTGCAATTTCTTTTGTTTGTCGTCTTCCTTCTTCTTCTCTGCGTTCTCCTTTTTCTTCTTCTCCTGCTCCTCTTTCTTCTTAATGTCAGCCTCTTCCTTCTTTACGAGGTCCTCCTCTGCTTGCTTTTTCCTCTCCTCTAGGAGTTTTGCGTGTTCGTCTTTGAGCAGCACAGGCGCTGAAAGGACAATATTTAAAAGTGGGCTGGAGACACGGAAAACCAACTTTTCATTGTTTGTGAACTATAAAGACTGTAAAGCACGGAAGATACCGCAAGTCGCTGGTATGAAGCTGTCATGCTAACTTACACAGCTGAAGTGAGGCTGTAATGGGTTAGTACTTACTGACAGGAGGAGTGATCTCTGGGGATGAAGCGTACTGATCGACCACTTTCTCTTTGTAGATGTTCAGTCTTGCTTGCATGCGTTGGGCTATGCATCTGAGCTGCTCGTCTGCATACTTGTTTATGACAATAGGTGGAGGTGGAGGAGGGGGCGCCTCTTCTCTGTAGATTAAAAAACAATTAGCAGACATATTAGCCACAGTACCTTGGATATGAATGAAATATGAATTTAAGATGGCAAATAAGCAATTTATTTTGTAATTAGCAAGCTGTAGCAAGACTAGTCGGAGGTGATGTTACTTAGTGCCTACAATCAATATTTTTGACAAAGAGTCTGCAGTTGTCATCGCATCTATTGAGCTTTAGTGTACAGTTTTCTGAAACATAACTCTACTGTGTTGGTTCAGCATTAATGCTCTTATTTGGCCAGAGCAGACACCTGTTTGAGCAGTCCAAATTAAAACTCTTAAAACACATGAAACACTGCCTGCATAGCGCTAACTAGATGCAGTAGGTGTCTAGCTGTTGTACAAAGTGGAGGATTTAGTAGATTTAGTTACTTCCCTTAAGAGTGAAGTGGCCAATAATGGGAGGAATATTAGAATTAAATAAACCAAGCTGCCAGAAACCAAACTGGATCAAATGCTAATGTTGTTGTATCAGCTGGGTGTGGGTAATAGCCAAATATGTGCTAGAAAGATTGCCATTTCAACTTTAACGAATAACTAATGGTTGTGTTCACAGCTTTCTAGCATCTGCCTGCAAGTGGGTCAAACTAAACGAAAAGTAGTAGCAGAGAAAATGAAATGTTATGTGTCTTTTAACAAAAAAGTAAGAACAAGTCAGTAACTGTTTTACTTACAGTATGTCATGTCTACAGTCTACAACTGCTTTTCACACATGGCTCAGCATAGCAAATAGTGATTTGTTATGTCAAATGAAACAGTTTGTTCTGTGAAATTACATTAAAAGTTGAAAGGCTCAGCTTAGGAAGTAACAGGCAACTGCAGCCTCAGCAGTACAGATAGAGAAGAGGACATCTGTGCTCATGTGTCGCCCCCTGGTGGCCTCAATCTAGTATTACACCCAGCTGAAAAGCATTTGTTTTCAAGCTTTATATATACAGTCTATGGTGTCAAGTCATTGATTTGAATAAATCACTACCGCACCACAACATCCTGAGCGTAACCATATATGAATTGAATAACTTAAAATGTAATCAAATTAAAGACAATACTTTTCACAATAGCTTGAAACAAGTTTATATCATTTCGTCCAACAGATATATATCAATGACGTAAATTAAATTACAAAAATGCCTCTATTTATAACTCAACAATTCAACAGCACTGCAAACTGCTGCCTCTTATATGACCACAGTGTTTCCCGTACCATTGTCTTGGAGGGGCGCTGCGCCCCGCCAACGGAGCCCCGCGCCCCCCCTGAAATTCAAGGTGGTTTTTTTATACATATATATATATATATATATATATATATAGAGCACCAAATTGCAACTAATCTATATCTACTGTCACTTTTCACATTGAACATGTGCTCTTTTATTAAATAAACTAAACGCTTTCATTTTAAGTTGTAAGTTTAGTGTTTTTGACCCTAAGAAACACTGATGCATTAATCAATAACAATAATCCACAGCTCCTCTCTGCTCCCGAGGATTTAAAAAAAAAATATCCCAATGCCACATCTACTCATATAGATAAGTAATATTAGTTTTTAAGTGTTGCAGGTCAATATGCCACAGTCAGGTTTTTTTTTGCTGGGCCCGAAGCAGCCTTGAGCTCCTTAAACCTTAAAAGCTGCAAAGCTTTTAATCCACTTTCAGGTCAACCCCCCCTTGTATGCATGTTGTGCAGAGGGATCAAGATCTCACATATGTTCATCTCTGTATCTCCCTGTGTTCTTGCCAGAAAATCTGATTAATTAGAGGCCATTGGGTGATTAATTGAAACTAGTTCGGTGTCAGTGTCTTGGCAGGCGCGTGGTTTGGTACGCTAAAGTGGTGTTTAGAGGCTCGACGGATCAACAAACTTCATCTACTCTCTTTAATTGCCCAATACTTTTATTATACTCTCAATGCATCTCCCAGCTATATTGTCTGCAAACATATCAGACAGAGAAAATACCTGTGATGATGTATTGCTCAAACTATTGGAGACTACAGAAAGCAGCAAGGGTGCATGTCTTACCCCTCAGGTCCAGCTTGATCAGGGTTAGCAGGAGCTGCTCCTGGGGCAGGGGCTGCTGCCGGAGTGGGGGCCGGAGCTGGAGCCGGAGCCGGAGCCGGAGCCGGAGCCGGAGCCGGAGCCGGAGCTGGAGCCGGAGTAGGGGCAGGTGCAGGGGCCGCTGCTGGGGCAGGTGTTGATTCTGAGAAAATGGGAACAATCAGAATCCATAATAAGTGTATCTCCTCCAAACGCATTTTCCTCATTTTTTTAGCCTTGCATTTGAACAATGTATTTAACATTATGCATTTCCTGAACTTCTTCATTTTGTGTGTTTTTTTTCATGTGACTTTTCTCATTTCATTTTTCTTGCCATAGAAATAACGTCATTATTGTTGCCACGGTATGTTAAGCATATGGCACTTTATTAAGAGATAGGTTTAGATTCTAAACATTTTAAATTAAAAATAATAACCTCAGAATGACAGTATATAATTCCGTGGCTATAAAGTATCTCACGTCATTATCAATTACGCTCCAAATGAATATATAAAAACATGTATGATATAAATGAAATTGACAATGTCCATAGTACCAGATTTGTCTGTGGTGCATGTTTTAAAGTAAAAGCCTTTTAAAGGGTAAGTTGGTTTTCAGAGAAATTAAGTAAAAGTATTATTATCTATATAAGGTAAAATAACAGAGCTATGACACACCCATTGTGCTTGATGGTACAATTGCTACAAGACAAGTGCCTAGAAGGAGAGCCACACTATCAACAAGTAACTGAATTCAATGCATCTTACATCAGACTGCAGGGTCAATGATGTTTGGACAGACAATAAGTACAAGAGACATTACATGTTGTACACATGTTTGCAGTTTATCAATGTGTGCCACTCTGAATGATCTGATCATCCTTCTCAATAATTAATAAATAATAATATATATGTATTTTTTTCAAGTGACAGGAATGGGCAATACAATGCATTAAAAACTAATACAGACAATGGTTAAGTTGCAAATGCTAAAGGTCACTTTAGTACAAAGTGACAACATTTGCAGTATGCCTGGTATACCGTTTCAACCTTAAAGGACAGTAAAGTCCAGCTGACACACAAAGCAAAACAAAAAGGGAAGCAGAATAATTTGGTTTCTAAATGTGTGGCTCTCACATAAATGATCACTTACCCTGCGGTTTGTCCTCTTTCTTGGCCTCATTCTCCTTATCGGCTGGCTTCTCCTCCTACAAGACAAATCAACATTTCCCACAAAGTTACTCATTAGTCAAAACATGGTCATTAGAGAGACACTTTAATTTAGAGAGCCTTTTAAAGAAAAGGGAATTTAGCATTTGACAAATTACTCTCTTGCCTGATACACTTTAAACAAAAATTGTTTAAACAAGCTGGGTCTGAGATGAAATGAATTTAAAAGTGCCCGTTGGGTAATGAGCAATTTCAATGAGATCCGTGTCGAGAAGCAATTTTATTTGATTCTTTGTTGGCAAGGGTACGGCACAATTGAGTGTATGGGGGAGCAGATAAGATGCCACTGATGTGAGGAACAAATGTAAACCAAACTTGCTGTGTTACAGGCTGGATGCAACACTGCACATGATGTTATCATGCTTGATTTCAGTCTTGGCTGTTACAGGGCTATTGAACGCTTGTTAAAGCATTGTAGAATAAATGAATGCCTTAGAAATCACTGTAAACATTACACAGTTTACAATTAACAGTTGTATTTACTTAATGAATATATAGCACACTTTTTTCTTTTTAAAACAAGTCTTACCTTGGCTGGAGCTGGATCAGGAGCTGGAGCTGGCGCTGGATCAGGATCAGGATCAGGAGCTGGAGCAGGAGCTGCAGGGGTGCCTGAAGCCTCTGGCACCTGCGGGCCAGCAAAGACTCTCTTCAACCTGCCAAACATGTCCAGAAAACGAAGCATAACCTGCTGTTATGTCTGCATGCGAGCTGAAATACTCCCTTCTAGATCAACCCTCTCTTTTCTCTTTGTCAAACTCTTCTTCTTGCATTCTTTTAAAGCAACACGTCCACACAAACAAGCTGTCTCCAATGGTGTTACTGCTTTTAGCACCACTAATACTCCTGCACAGAGAATAGCCCCCACCATTAGTGTCATGTAAGCCCATCACCATAAGATTGCAATAGGCTTACAGGTGTAAGCTTACTGCCTGTACAGAGTACGTGCGTGTGTGAATACTTTCACCATTGCACTTGTTAAATGCTACTTCTCATTTAACCCATATCTCGTTGAAAGCATTGCAGCACATAATGTATGTTATCTAACTACAAGCTTTAACTGGCTCTTCCAATATGTCGGAGTGTAATAAGACACTTCCATAAAGTAAAGGTGCTCAAAATGTAAGCCTTTAAACATTATTTTACTAGAAAAACAAAAGTAGTATTTTTTATTTTTTTACTTGATTCAGTACAGTTTTGATGCCAGAATGTAGAATGTAGAGGAACTACCATATTTAAATTGGATCTTACGATTCTTTCCTCATAAATAAGGACTTTCAAGGGCTTAGAGAAGTTGCGACATTTCACCTTAGAATAATACAGTAGGCCTAAAGTTAGCTATGACATAAATATCTGTACATGGGTTGAATATTCAATGAGGGATGCATTAACACGCGATTCAAAATGGCGGTGGCCGGCAGGTAACAGGTGAGTACAGTGCAAACAACGACATTAGCGTTAACCTGAGGGACGGACGGACGGTCGTGTGGTGGGGGTTACATTTCCGCGAAGAGGGCGAGGGTCGGGACGGCAGTATTTTACTTTAAATTCAGGAGACTTGATGCAGAGGTTAGGGGCACACCAACCATGACCGCAACCACACTGTGCAAACAAATAAATACAACAATGGCAGTTTTCACATAACGTGGGCAACAATCAACCACGAGCAACAGGTCGTCTTTACAGATGTGCGTTCATGGATGTATAATAAGAACTGGATACAGCGTCGGAGGCGGGGTCTCGTTCTTTCCTATGAGAGCTGCTCATTGGCGCATGAGGACAAAATGGCCCAATTTTTGAGAGAGCGAAACGTCACAGATTACCCGTCATGCCTAGCTGTCAGAGCAGAAGAACCCGTATGTGCGCTCACAGAGCATGCGCCCCTTAAGCCCCGCCCCCGGAGCTCCCACTCTCGGCTCAGCAGATTGAATGGAGTCAGAAAATAAATCTAGATTCGGCTTTTAGTGCATTTTACAACTTTAAGGACCTAATCATTCTAATAAGGGCTATAAAATAGTTCATACTGGGTAGTTTATTTAGTTTAAAAAAAAGTATCCGCTGATCTCCAGACGTCTCTTTCCCAATGTTATTCAATGGGGAAAAGTGCCCTTCCTGGGGGCTTGTGTGCGTTCGACGAAGGCAACAATATATCCTGCTTCCGGCAACGCCCTCGACCTCTACCACAGTATAGGGAAATCGCATCTTACATCAAAAAACTCAAATACAACAAAGACGTTCAAATACATTTTTAACAACATTTAACGCGACATGACAAATACACTGACTACTAGAGGATCTTAATTAATTTGACACATCACAAGATAATCATAAAAGAAACCTGAACAGCTAATTAAAGGATACTTACCCCTCTTCAGTTGATTTCACATGGTATCTCCCAAAAGGTTTAATTGATGCTCAGACACCACCTGCTGATCAGAGCGTGATAACAGGCAGGACTATTACAGGTGTCTTTAAACATGTGAACTCTGATACAGGCTTCTGTATATTGCAACAGTAAACACAATAATCACAATGTTGACATCGATTTTCTCTTAAAGGTGGGGTAGGTAATTTTGGAGAAACCAGCTCGAGTGCGCTAGAATTTGAAAATACACAACCGGAAAAAATCTACCACTTCCTTACAGAGCCCCTCCTCCAACACACACGAACGCGCACATGAGCAATGAGGGCACGAGATAAGTTTGTGCACAGATGGAAGGCTGACAGGCAGGTAGGCCATCCAGTTATTTTAGCCGGGCCGGCTGAAATGATTGGTCGTGCTTTTTACAGTACTACGGCTTCCACAGATGACATTTTTTTATGGATTTTTTGTCAAAGCACTTAAGATATTCATTGCTATCGGGATGTTAAGAGCATTCCATGGAATATAACAAAAAGTGTATCTCGAGCCGGTTTCTCAAACTTACCTACCCCACCTTTAAGTATATTATTATTGCTTAACATAACGGCTATACTTTATGTAATTAAACGCGTGTAAATTAATACTTTTCCAAATGTTTTATCATAAGAATATTATTGCTCTTAAACTAGATAGTGGCAGTGGTTTAAATAGTGACTTTGTGTAAAGATTACTTTATTTTTGTTTTCAGAACAGGAATCTTATTATCATTATTTCTCTTCCTTATAGGTCCCCTGTTATACTGTTTTAGGGTTAGGGTTAGTGGAACTGATGTAGAGGAAAGACTTTAGTCAAGCACAATTATTTCTGAACTGAACTTTTGGCTTTGGATATCATAAAGCTTAAAGGGGACCTATCATGCAAAATGCACTTTTGTACGTCTTTTATACATGAATATGTGTCCCCGGTGTTCCAGGGAACTCACCAAGTGTCAGAAAACACAACCCTCTCTATTTTCCTCCATACCCAAATCTCTAAAAAAGGGGCTGCAACGGATCTGATAAAAACTGATCCAGATTTGAACACTGTCCTGACGTCAGGACGGTGGCGCTACGGCTATTGGGCCAACTCCACCAATCAGGAGGAGACAGCCACGGCCATTGCCGTTCGAAAGCGCTGGAGACGCTGTAGTACATATGCCAGGCCTGTAGATGGTGCTGTTCTCACAGAATCAGCCCTTGCAAAAACAGAGCTAAACAATTTCAAATTGAGCAAAATGAGGCATGGCTAAAATGCATGATCTGTTTGGTATTTTGAAAAAAAAAAAGTATAAATATGCCTTATATAGGTATGGTCCTACACTATATTATTATAATATAGCATGATAGGTCCACTTTAAGAGAAAAAAATACTGTTTTTAGAAAATGGGTCTAACATCGGTCTTTGTTTTGGTGCATTAGTTTCCCCAACTGTCAATAGGTGGATTGACCAGGTGAATCAATACTCAGTGGATGCACAGTTAAAACCCAAACACAGGTTAAAAGAAGAGGAAGCAGCAGGAAGAGTTTAATGATGTATTCATGGAATAAACTTACAAAGTCTCAAGGCAAAAAAGGAGTATCGGCAGGAAAGACTGATTAGGTGAAATGGTGATGTGACTTCACGATTAACAAAGGGACAGTTCAAATTAATCAGGCGGGGCAGACAATCAAACCTGGCAGGAAGTGAACGGATCTAAAACAAGAGGAGAGGTGAGTTACAGAATAAAACATGAATGAACAAGTTAAATGTAACAACATTTAGAAGCAGGGCAGGTTCAGACCTGTGTGTTTGGGCGCATATACATTTCTCCTGTCCACATGCTGTGATTTATAGTGTAGAGACTTTACATCATGAATACATTAAATGGTTTCATAAACACCAAGATACACACAGGAAGAAATTATAAGTGTGGTTATTTCACCCCATAAATCTCTCCATTTCACTTTCATTATCTCACAAACTTTCCTGTTCCCATAGCCCATATCTCAGTAAGACACTAATTTGCTTGCCTGTCATTAAGAATAAAATGACACCCGCCCACAGAGCCCATATTCTGCTGTTCCATCTCTCTTGTCACAGGGAGAGCAGACCAATGAAATGCCACGGTGATGCAGACGGGGCTTGACTCAGCCGGGGGCTTCGTGTAATGTATCTCGGAGCGTTCTCAAGGACCATTGACTTGTCTGGGGCGCGGAGATGAGTAGAGGAGGAAGCAGGCGAGTCACTTTTTCATGCCTCTACATATTTCCGCTACGCAGTGATGCAAGGGGATAGGGTCATTAGATCCTCTCCATCTCTACCATTACTCTAATTATGCCTTGGGGGGAGGGCCTAGTCACTGACACTGCTGTGAAAGAGCTTGGTTGGTAATAAAAAGAGCAAATAATTGTCTTGTTTGTTGTTTTACTCACTTTGCACTTATGGAGAGGTGAAGAAAACCCTTTAAGTACCTTTTTGATGACTCTAAAATGGTACATGAAATTGGGGAAAAGTGATTATAGGAGATGAATTAATGTAATTGTGTCTTAATTCAGATAAACCCTGACCTTTTCACCTCCTCACACACACTCTACCGCATCGCCTTGAAACCAGCACATAGGTTACAGCTGTCAGTCAGCAGCAGAACGACAACAGACCTTGACAGGGGTAGCAGCGAGAGCTACATTTACTGCACAAATTGGAGGAGGCTGAATTCCGGTGGCCAGTGACATATGACTCACCGCTCTAATTGCTGTAATACAGAGCTGCTCTCTACCAGGGGTCTGGACCTATGGTCTGGACATTATAACAAGGCCTAACCAAGCAGGCCAATTCAAAGTGTGGGCTTAATCATTGTGACAAAGGCCACAATGATTTCTCCTTTTGTAACGCTATAGAATTCAAGCACTTTACAGTCACTATTTCAGGGGTCTCCATTCAGTGACGGGAGGACGGAAAGAGGCCGTGATTTGCTCCGAGAAAAGCGATTACTTCAGATGACTTAAAGAGAACACTTATCCCACTGTTTGAAGTATTTGAGATTTATTTTAATGGACATGGAGCTTTGACTTGTAAGCTTGAATGTAGATCTTAACTTTGTCTTTAGGTGCCTTAATTATTCAACCCAGAGATGACTCAGAACATGCTCCCTGACTATAGTGTCCACATCCAGTGTGAGTTATGAAGCTTCGTGTCTATTCATTTGGATTTTTTTGGTGCTGGAATACATTAGGAATCAGAATGCTGCAGATATTTAGACAATTGAACACCATTTTTTCCCGTTTTTC